GATTTTTGTTGAATATAACCAAATATTCATTGGAGAATGAACAGTCATTTGCAAATAGCATATTTATGCATTATATCAAATGTAGATTCACTTTAAAAATCAGAATATGCTTTGGTTCAGTGGAAAGGAAGAATAAATGGCAAGAGATTAAGTTCAAGTTTATCAGTTTTGAAACAATAGAAGAAATCTTGTTAAAATGTTTTTTCTATAACAATCATTCTTCCAGTTGGCAGTTTAGCTAGTGTCAAAAGAGACAAGGAAACAGATATGCCTATTTATTGTACCTTACCTTAACTTGAAATTCGATCTTTTAATAGAATGAACCTGTATGACTCATCTGCCAGATGCTTGTTTTTTCTTTGAGAGAAAGTGTTTCAAATCAGCCACATAAGCAGTCTATTACTGTTGTAAAATAAATTTCACCATGGGAATAACTATATTGCTCAAGAAAACATAATCCTGATATAAAGCTTAATAATTTTAGAACGGTCTATCATCACACATCTATTAAGTGTCTATATACTCAGCACAAAGGTGTAGCTTTAAAAAGGAAGAGGGAAGATTGCTGCTGTTGTTCATTTTTAAAGACAGTATATAGAAAGTCAAAATAATTCTAAATTTCCAAGCAATTAGAATGGTAGCAGATGGCAGATTCCTTTGCTTTCATCTTCAGCAGCCACTATAACAATTCAAATTAACTAAAAGAAATCTCCAAACTCAAGGTAGAATATAATATCACCTGCTACATAATATACCTGATAAAGATACATAAACAAAATATGACTATAGTCAAACTCAACTTAAAGTTTAAGCATCCCAAATTTAAATAAGTCTCTTTTCTTAGATAGTCAGATCAGACCACAACAATATTTTGAGACCGACAAGGTCTGACATTTTACTTCTTCATTAAGGACTGAAAAAGCACGAACTTTGGCTTTCTAACCAGCCATTTCATTCACGGTGTCAATAGTGGAAGGTAGCGACATGGAAATGTATGCTGGATATTTGGATGGTTTAAATATTATGTACAATCAATAGCTTATAACCAGTGAAAACAATAACATAATTCAGCGTAAGTGTCCAAGATAAGATATAAAAAAGCAGAGAAAGTGCTTACATCTACAGGTCTTCCCTGAAAGCTTCAAAAATGTTTAACTCTTTAAGTAGGTAGGGCTTTTAATACAATTTGCATAGCAGCTCACAAGGTAATTTACATTAAAAATATGAAGATTCTTCCATGTTTTTGAAAACATACAAATTATCCACATGCATATAAATTAAACAAGAAGACCTGGAGGTTCATCAGAAAATTAAAGAAATAAAATCCATCATAACCTTTTCTCAAAAAGTGGTCACACTTTTGTTCATGAAAATCATTTACAGTAAAACTTGTTTTTTCTGGGAGAAACATAATCTTATCCAGATTCCACACAGCTCAAATTTTTTTTTTAAAGAATAAATTTTGGTTTATTAGTACATTTAATCAGCTGAAAGAAAGCTTCGTTAACATTCTGCTTAGGAGGATAAGAAAACAAATAATCAGTAACAATTTTAATCATTTGTTGGTTAGAGAGATTTTTCCACTTATAAAAATATAAGAAATAAATAATTCAATCTCTCCTGCCATGCAATAATTTTCAGTAACAAGATTTGTGAGGTTACAGATGATAAAAACAGGCACTGTCAGACTTTACCTAGCCTAAAAAGTGCTAAAACATAGCTTTAAAATAGGTGAATGACATTTAAAGTAATATTTTTGATTGCCTGTATATGTCCCAATATTTAGCCTGAAACTCTGTCTACTAGGTAGCTGAGTTTACAGTTACAGATATCTAATAAATACTGTATAAACATACATTAAAGTATTTCTTCATATAAAAGATTAGATACTAATTTCCAGGTAAGGTTCATTTGATGACTTCAGAAAAGGACTTACCATTTTCAGAAAAATAATAACTGAGCCTCTTCTTTATAGGCATCTGTGTGGAATATGGAGAAGATCTCAGGGGCACAGAAAGTGGTCCATTGGAATGAGGGGGACACTACTCTGCAATTCCTTTACATCCTACACATGGAAGCCCACAACATTCTCAACAATTTTCCTAATTAAACATACAAAAAAAAAAAAAAGAGAGCGAAAACTGGGCTATTCTGTAAAAGATCTGAAATATGAAAAATGCCCATTTTTAGTTATCATTTGAAAATACTTTGCCATATTTTGGCATCTAAATACAAAGTACAAATTGACCCTTGAATAACATGGATATTAGGGGTGGTGACTCCCCACAGTAGAAAATCCATGTATTAACTTTTGACTCCCAAAAACTTAGCTAGTCATCCCTTGGTATCTACAGGGACTGGTTCCAGGACTACCCATGGATACCCAAATCCATGGATGCTCAAGTCCCTTATATAAAACAGTGTAGAGCAATGGATACAGTCAGCCCTCCTCATATGTGGATTCCCAACTGTGGATCAAAAATACCTACACATTTATCAAGGCTGTCTCACTCCTTAATAAGTACTTTATTTGTGGTTTGAAAATCCCACAAACACACATAATTGAAGAACAACCTGGTCATTCATGATTGGAAAGCGTTTGAACTATGTTAAACAAGCGGCTTAAGGGCTCTTGCTCTTAGGGGTGCTAGTGGTCACAGGAAACCTCCCATCAATTTCATTTCACATCAAGACTCAAAACCCTATTAAATATTAAAAACCCTATGGACCTTGGGCCTATACATGACAGTTTTAGCTTGAACAAAAGGGGTTGAAATGCACACGCTTTACCTCTCCTGCCCACATTTTAATCACACCGATTTTACAGGTCTTTTTCATATAACTAATGAGCAGGTGGCTCAGAAATACCCCCTGAAAATCTTCTCAGTAGCTTAGCCTTTCACACTAACACAGAAAACCTAACCAAATGGCTTTGCTGCAAAAGTCTGTGATTACATCATTCATCTCAGATTAATACTCTCACTGCAAAGAATAAGCTCTCTTATCTGAGGTATTATGTATTCAAATTTTTCTTCCAGAAATCACAGCTGGATCTTCAAGATATTTTTTCTTCTCTAGCTTTAAACTTACTCCAGATGGAACCAAACTTGGGTTTACGAATTTTCAAAACATAAAAAGCTCTTGAAAGACGTATTCTAGTCTAGATTTTAATTTCCAGTTTTAAGTGGATCAGACAATTCATTTTTGGGACAGGTGGTGGAGGAAGAACAGACATCTCTCCCCAGCCTCTGCTTATGGTAAATCTTACCGTACACTGGAAGGGAGTAAAGACAAGGGGGTTACAATGTCTAACTATAACTTTCTGGTCAAGAGTAGTTCTTTCTTATGTCCTACCTATACATTAGTCTGCACTCAAACCAAATAGTTCATGTGCTGTATATACTGTTGTGTTTTCTTTTCCTGTTTGGAGTGCTACCCTCCTTCACCCTCCATAGTGTTCACATCCTCTTATGGTACTCCTGATAGATCTAGTAAATGAGAACTAATCCCAGACCTTTCTTCACAGGAACACAGAGAATATCCAAGTCAATGTTACCTTTCCTTTCAGTTCCGGGAACTACACAAATCTTGACATTTTATAGAGCTATTACACTATTGTAAATAGTTTCAGATATATACCTCCATACTCAGAAATAACAAGCTGAATGTATTCTTCAGTACCACAAAATCCAGTACCACAATCTTATTGCTAATGTGTCCTAACGATGACATCTGGAAATGCTTAGCAAAACCCATGGATCTATTCCATGGTGTCATCGCCCTACTCACTGTAGGATGTGTTACTAAGCTACACTGAGTCTTGAATTAGCAGCTGCTTGTCCATGCCACTCTGCTGACACAGGGGAGAGGGCCACGGCCAGGATCCTACATGGGTGCACAGAACCCAAAGCAACTCGACGTTTTGTTTGTGTTGCAAAGCTGGCTTCACCCACAAATTCTGTTCTAGAAACAAGCTTGCTCTCTAAATTTATCTTCCTCAAAGATATCTGCCCATTAGAAAAGATACCACTAGGAAAACCCGCCTCAAAGACTGTTCTTCAAAATTAGGCTTGATAGACTCCTTGGAATGGCAGTGATATCCAGCTATTCAAATAGTGACTGATAAAGCTCCACTAACCCTAACCAAAGGCACATTTGGTAAGTGATAAAAAATGGCTTAGGATAAAATGAGGATTTTCTCATTAAAGTATATATCAATTATAAGGACATGAAAAAAATAAAATGAGGATTTTCTTTTAAAATAAATCTTACCACATTCCCTGGCTCCTACCAAAGATAAAATCAGAAAACCCTCAAACGAGTTAAACTTTTCTTTCAAAGCAGTGGTTTCCAACTTGCTTTTCAATTTGGTCACCACAAGAAAGGGAGTGGAAGGCAAGGCAAATCAAATTTCGCAAGTTCTAAGTCCTAAAGTTAGCACTTAGGGGTGGCAAAGCTTGTGACACAGTGGGATGTGATGGCCAGGGTAGGATGTAGCCAGAGCCAGGACAGATGGAAGAATGGTTTGGTGATACAGCTCAAGGACTTCCTGGGGTGGAATGAGCAAGTGAGGACAGTCAACTCCAACACAATGTACAACCTATCTAGAATGACCAAGAAGCATAGCTGCTGAAAACTAGCACCTGGGAAGAGATAAACATCTTAAGCAAGAGATCAAAGCAAAGTCTGAAATGCTACAGGAAGAAGAAAAAAATCAACTTCTTGGATATTTGACTACATCCAAAAAGAAAAACAATGAGCCACCCTTCTTAATAGGAGACTTAAACCAAATTACTTAGAAACCACATTAGGAAACCAACAATAAATCAACAGCTTCATTTTGGAGCTTATTAGAGTCCTAGAAATTCTGGCCAAGGTAGCTTGTGAAAGGCAGGCTCTTCTTTAAACATGGTTATGGTCAGCAGTGATTTGCAGGTCCTCATCAAGGCACTGTGCTGGAGGAGAAAGGAAAGAGCTTTCATTTTGTGCTTTTTTTTTTCTTTTTTGAGATGGAAATACTTGTGACATTCAAGGTTCTTTTCTGATTTTCTGCTACTCATACAAGCAGTCCCATGCGAGTGACTTTGGCCGACAAGAACGTGTGCAACACAAATACAATCGGCTTTGGACAAGAGTGCAGGTCCATGGTCTGTGGAGAGAGGACATCAATTATCACTACCACACACAGGTGCTTTAATAAATAAACACGCAAAATAAACAAATTTGGATGGGATGTTCTATTTTTTTTTAATCCTCACCTGAGGACATTTCTTTTTTTTTTTTTTTTCGATATTTTGTTCAGATAGAGTGGGAGGGAGAAAGAGGGAGAGAAACATCGACGTGAAAGAGACACATTGAGTAACTGCCACCCACACGACCCAACCAGGGCTGGGGACAAACTGCAACCGAGGTATGTGCTCTTAGCAGGAACCGAACCCGGGTCTCTTCAGACCACAGGCCAATGCTCTAACCATTGAGCAACCTGCCAGGGCAAGATGTTCTATTTTTTAAAAAGAACTTAGTTATAGAAACTCTTGGGAACTGAAAGCCACAAATGAAAGCATACTCTGAAGTTAGATATTCCACGTTATAATTAAACATCAGTGTGAGGTTTCACATCCACAATTAGGATACACTTGGTAGTATAACGGGCTACACCATGCCTGGTAGAACTAAAAAGCAGAGAATGTAAAAGAAAGGAATAGCCTATATGGAGACCATTAATTGGAATTATATGTATTTCTGAGTGAGAACCACAGTAGGCTCAGCTGAACAGTGACCTTATATGGTATGATTTTTGACACCCCACATAAATTTGTGGTGGGAATGACAACTCTTGAGGCCAGTAAGGAGGGCTATTATACCTTCCTATACACAGGCTTCTAATTTGGACCCTAGGCACCAGAAGAACAGGAGACCTGGGGTCTGGCAGCAAGGGTCAAGTGGGTCGTCAATCATTGGCACTGATAACAGAGACCAGGAATAAGACATAGCTTAATTATGTCTTTAAAAAAAAATACAACTTTATGAAGAATATAGTTATAGCCTGGCCGGTGTGGCTCAGAGGTTGAGCATCGACCCATGCACCGAGAGGTCGCTGGTTCAACCCCCAGTCAAGGCACATGCCCAGTTTGTGGGCTGGATCCCCCAGTGGGGGGCATGCAGGAGGTAGTCAATCGATGTTCTCTCTCATCAATGTTTCTCTTTCTCCCTTACCCTCCCTCTCTCAAAAAAAAAAAAAAAAAAAAAAAATATATATATATATATATATATATATATATAGCTATAGAGCACTAAATTCTGTATATATTAAATATAAAGCAAGGATTAAAAATATATAAATAGCCAGGGATAATAATCTAACACCTTGCTTGCTAACTGGCAACTAATATTAATAACTGGCTAAATAGAAGTTAATAGAAGCATTTAACTTTCTCTAATGCTTCAGGCATTTGAAAAGCCTTGGTCCAGCTAGGACAGTGTGGCTCAGTGAACTAAGAGGTCCTGGTTTGATTCCCATTCAGGACACACGTTCAGGTTGCAGGCTCGACTGGTACGTGCAAGAGGCAGTCGATCGATATTTCTCTCTCACATCGATATTTTTCTTTCTCTTTCCTTTACTCTCTCTCTCTCTAAAAAAAACAAAACAAAAACCAAACCAATAAGCCCAGCCTGTGTGGCTCAGTGGTTGAGCATCAACCCATGCACCAAGAGGTTACCAGTTTGATTCCCAGCGAGGGCACATGCCCAGATTGTGGGCCAAATCCCCAGTTGGGGGCATGCGGGAGGCGGCCAATCGATGTTCTCCCTCATCAATGTTTCTCTCTCTCCCTCCTTCTTCCTTACTTTCTCTCTAAAATCAGTAAAAAAAAAAAAAAAAAAGTCAATAAAAACACATTAAAAAAAAAAAAAAGAAAAGCCTTGGTCCATGGCCTACCTACAGTTTCCCAAGATTCATCATTTAAAATAAGATTTCTAGTCAGTTTTCTCATTTATATATATATATATTTTTTAATCCTCACCCAAGGACATTTTTTCCATTTTTTGTTCAGATAGAGTGGAGGGGGGGGCGGGGAGAGAGAGAAACATCGACGTGAAAGGGACACATCGAGTGGCTGCCACCTGCATGACCCAACCAGGGCCGGGGACAAACCGCAACCGAGGTACGTGCCCTTAGCGGGAACCAAACCCGGGTCTCTCTGGACTGCAGGCCGATGCTCTAACCGCTGAGCAAAACCGGACAGGGCTCTCATTTACATTTTAATTTAGTTCTAAAGTGTTGAGATTCTGTTTGCTAAACTTACACCTATTGTGAATGTGTCAATGGACATAAGATTTCCCATATAAGACCTGAACTACTGGCTCAATATTGATAAAAGAGAAAAGGCACTGTTTTACTCTTTTATCATAATTTATGATTTCTGAAGTATACTTGACATACTTTTCTAGTTCTCTAAAGGGGAATCATGAATTTCTGTTGCTATTTCCTTAAAGGGACAAGGAGGTAAAAAAGAAAATGATGGCTGTATGGACATATCTCTGCATCTTTTTTTCTGATCAGCAAAATTTCTGTAGCAACCAAGTCACTCTATTACTTTAAAAAAACAAAATTCTTACCTGAGGATTTTTTTTTTCAATTGATTATAGAGAGAGAGAAAAGGAGAAAGAGAAACATTCATTTGAGAGAGAAACATAGATTCAAGAAACATCAATCAGTTGCCTCTCATACGCACCCCAATTGGGGATCAAGCCCCCAACCTGGGTATGTGCCCTGACCAGGAATCAAACTCCAGCCTTTCCATATGTGGGACACTGCTCCAACTGAGCCACACCGGCCAGGGCTCAATTCCCTTTAACTCTTATCCCAACAAACTGCTAAACAGCAACGAATAGAATTTATTTAGTATTTAATATGTTTAAATACTTAACGTCTTATTTTTTATAAAAGCCTACTTCTTAAAAGGGCTATTTTTTCTAAGATTCAAACAAAACTTCTAAAAAAGAGAATGATTTCCTAAAGTGGGGAAAAGGAAAAAACAGAACCCAAATCCAACACATCTTGAAAAACTAAAGAATAATTTCCTGGAAAAAAATGGAGTATCAGTCCATAATATTTCTTCTTCTTTTTTTTTTTATCCCCATCCGAGGACATTTTTCCATTTTTTTGTACAGATAGAGTGGGAGGGAGAGAGAGGAAGAGAGAGAGAGGGAAACATCGATGTGAAAGAGACACATCGAGTGGCTGCCACCCGCACGACCAACCAGGGCCGGGGACAAACCGCAACCGAGGTACATGCCCTTAGCGGGAACCAAACCCGGGTCTCTCCGGACCGCAGGCGGATGTTCTAACCGCTGAGCCAAACCGGCCAGGGCTCAGTCCATAATATTTCTATACAAGAGGGTAATAAGCAATAAATAAGAAAAAGACTACCTATTAAAGTAAACATATTTTCTGCCTGGCCGGTGTGGCTCAGTGGATTGAGCATCCTCCCATGGACTGAGAGGTCCTGGTTCCATTTGTGGTCAGGGCACATACCCGGGTTGTGGGCTCGATCCCCAGTAGGGGGCATGCAGGAGGCAGCCCATTGATGTTTCTCTCTCCCTTCCCCTCTCTCTAAAAATACCAATAAAAACATTTAAAATAAACAAACATATTTTTCAGAAATTCTCTTACCAGCTCTCCCTCAGGACCACCAAAATCCAGATACAGATTTCTAATGCCATCATCAGCAGACATTTTCAGCCTTTCAAAGGGATAACGGTACAGTATGCTGCTGGTAGCTCCATTTTCCCTGGAGATAGTGAACCCATTTTCGTAGTGGACAGTGAGTCTTACCTCTTGTCCATTTAACGTGCAGCCTGTTGAAGATAAGCAAAACATTAATAAAGTTTCTGCTTCAGTTATCAAGCGGAAAAGGATTCTTCTGACTTCAAAAAGAAAACAAAATCTTTTCTTAAGAATGTGTGATACATAACCTATTTGGAACCTCCTAAAGTGAGTTTTGTCCTGGTCACTCATGTCAACATCTTGATTGAGATAAGGAAGAAATCACCATAACTCTCCTTGACATCTGATCTGATTCAGTTCAATTCAGTGAGTATCCACTGAATACTTGTGCCTGTCGTAGTACAGGAGAAGAGGCACAGTCCCTGTTCTCAAGGACCTCATAAATGAATAGGCATAAACATGAACTCCCTAACTGTGTCAAGTAGAATGTACAGAACATGAATAAACACTAAACTGAATAAGGCCAAAGTCCAGGAAAGGTTTCCTGGAGGAGATGGAACTTCAGATAGGCCCTAAAGAATAGATCAGCCCAGCCAGTGTGGCTCACTGGTTGAACATCGACCCACGCACCAAGAGGCTGCCAGTTTGATTCCCAGTCAGGGCACATGCCCAGGTTGTGGGCCCGATCCCCCATGCAGGAGGTGGTCAATCGATGTTCTCTCTCATCAATGTTTCTATCTCTCCCTACTTCTCCCTTCCTCTCTCTCTAAAATCAATAAAGAAAAAAAAAAAAAAAAAAAGATCAAACTGGATAAGCAGTGAGGAACAGGGAGAAGGCTTCAAGTGGACACAAAGAAGAAACAACCAAAGGAGAAAAAGTGCGTTTCAGAGGCAGTAACATGATTTGGCTGGTATTTGGGAAGAGGATAGAGATAATGTTTATCAAAGATAAAGGCTATACCTAGCAAAAGTTGTACCATTGGTCCTATCAAGATAAAATTCAAAGGATACATTTAAAATGATAGGACAAAAACCTTTGATCATCAAGACTGGCAAATGTCTTCTCTCGAGACTGGGGAAGTCCCTGTCTCACTAATATTTGAGTACAGTTTTGTTGTTAGTACAGGTGCTACATGTGAGAGGCCCTCTGTCTGAGGCCTGGGAATGAACACAGCCTTTGAGGGCTGACCTTAAAACCACTTCAAGGGTCAGAGTCGAGTATGCTTTGTCAGTTTAAACAAAAAGAATGGTTCCCAAACAAACAAGTGCTCACACTCAAACCAGTTCTTTCACTGGATGTGCAAAAACATTCAATTGGTCAAGGCAGCTGATGTATTTAGGAAATAAGGAAAACAAATAACATAAATACTGGCAGTGTCTCTTCTTAGCACTACTCAAAGAAGAGAGATTTGAGACAATGGACTTTATATATTAGTTACCTTCAGAAAAGAAATCTTGGGGAAGAACATGGATAAAATGAACCTGTAGAAGTAATCTAGTACAATAATCTCTAAATGAATGGCTGAGGGGTTTGGAAAAAGAACAGACAGATCCAAATTAAGGCAACCAGGGTAGAGTTTTCATGAGAATTTTATTCTGTTAACATCCCTGAAACTATAGCATAGTCAAGGGTGTTGAAGTCTGATGAGAAGAGAGGGGTCGTTCTAGTCTAGAAAAGAGAAGCTCAAAGCACAAAGATCTGCCCAAGTCCTTGCAGCACTGGCTGAAGAAGGTGTAATGCAGGGGGGCAAGTATTTCTGCCCCAGTGGGGAAAGATCTGCAATCACAGCTAGCAAAGGCAAGCCATTAAAGCCTCAACAAACTTGTCATGCAAGAGATTTCTTAAAATGTTCTGTTCAGGGTTGTTTCCCCTTAGGAGAGAAGGAAAGGAAAGAAACCATCAGTGTTTGTGTGGGTTATAGCACTGACCCGCGAACCAAAGAGTTTCTGGTTTGATTCCAGTCAAGGGCTTGTACCTCACTGCAGTTTGATCACTGACCCTGGTTGGGGTCGTTCAGGAGGCAACAGAATTGATGTGTCTCTCTCACATCAATGTCTCTCTCTCTCTCTCTCTCTCTCTCCCTCCCTCCCACTCTATCTGAAAATCAATGGAAAAATATCGTTGGGTGAGGATTAAAAAAAATAATAAAATTGTTGTGCCTAATAGTCTTAACTAAATGGTTTCTCCCTAAATAGTAGAGAAAAACAGTTAGGCGACGTTGATTAAGTACCTGACACACCTCACCCTTAGAGGGTCTCAGGAGTAATAAACCAAAGATAAATAAATCTCTGATGATGATTTAAAAAGAGACAGAGAAAGAGAGAAACAAAGAGGGAGAGAGAGAAAGAAGGCAGAGAGGGGGAGAGAGAGAGAGAGAGAGGAGAGAGACAGAGAGGATAGAGAGAGAAGAGAGGAGGGAGGGAGGAGAGGGAGAGCTCAGGCACACATGCATACATATGTGTACATGTATAGGGCAGGCACCTGTGACAAGGTGCCTTGTTCTGATAGGACTGGATCTGAGATTAATTATCAGCAAAATTCTGAGCTGGTCCAGGTGGCTTTTATAACCATCCCGATGTCCTGATTCAACTAAAATCCTTTCAGATGACTATAAAACTACTATCCACCTCAATTTATAGATAAGTCAGTAAAAAAATTTAATATACTCATTTTGCTTAACAGTTATTAATCAGAAATATAATTCAAGGACAATCACAGGATATCATATACTGAAGTTTAAAAGATAGAGAAAACTACAAACTACAGTTTTTGAGGTAACCAATGGAGGGAGATAAGCACTCAGCACTCAGCAGTGGGTGCTTTGTGTTCCTTCTGTAGGGTACAATGTGGGTTGATGGACGGCAGAGCTGAAGATAAAGCTAAACAACTTAGGAGCCTGGACCCAGAATAATTAGAAAACATACATGAAGAGTAACTGTCCAGTGAAATTGTGATTATGTTTTACTTCATTGATTGTTCATTATTTCATTTATTCATGTATTTTTATATATTAAAAAAATTTTTCTTTATTGATTTTAGAGAGAGAGGAAGGGAGAAGGAGAGAGAGATAGAAACATCAATGAAAGAGAACATATTCCGGCCATCCCCCACATGTCCCCCAATGGGGACCTGGCCCACAACACAGGCATGTGTCCCAATCGGGAATCGAACCGGTGACCTCTTGGTGTATGGGTTGACGCCCAACCACTGAGCCACACTGGCCAGGCCTATTGATGTATTTCTAAATTCTCTGCTCTCACTGGGCAGCTGGGAAGACAGATGGGTAATCACAACCAATCTATACTGGATTGTTTTAAGAATATATGTGCCAGACATTGTGTTAGGTGCTAGGAGATACAGAAATGAATAAAAGATGGTTCTGTTCAGACTAGTGTGAGAGAAAGAAAAGGAAATCTAGATGCAGAAGAATGAAGTAAGTGCTGTAACAGAAAGATGAACAAAACACTGTGAAAGGATAGAAGAGAGGGGTGTAGATTGACTCTGGGGAATTGAAAAAGCCTTAATAGAGGTGCTATTTCAGTTGAATCTTAAGTGATAATAAAAAGTATAACAATGGCCAGTTTGCTGAGTGTGTACTATACATCAAAATTAATCATAACCTTTTAACTCATCTAAAAATTAAAATAATAAGCTTTTGGGGGAAATTTTATTACCGAGTAATATGCAAAAGAGACATCCTCATTTCTTGTCTAAGAGTCATCTCCTCCCTGAGACCTACTTCAATACCACCCACAAACTGGGGTAGGGGTCAAGAGCAAGGTGGTGACCAGGGATAGGGTGAGAGATAGTAGGGGAGCAAGACCTATGTGCAGACCAACCACATTAAACCAGGAATCCTAAGTTTACCATATGTACTCATCCAAGCTCAATCATTCTAAACACAGTTCTCTGATGAGACTCTCCCTGTATCATGAATCACTGTACTTGAAAATTCTGACTTTACTTTCAAGGTTTCAATTCTTATACTGATTTATTTATTTTTTTAAATCCTCACCTGAGGATGTTTTTCCATTTATCTTCAGATAGAGTGGGAGGGAGAGAGAGAAAAGCATTGATGTGAGAGAGATACATTGATCAGTTGCCTCCCACATGACCCTAACCAGGACCGGGGACTGAACTGCAACCAAGGTACATGTCCTTGACCGGAATCAAACCTGAGACTCTTTGGTCCGAGGGCTGATGCTCTAACTGCTGAGCCAAACTGGCCAGGGCTATACTGATTTATTTATTTATTTAAATATTTTTTCTTTATTTATTTTAGAGAGAGGAAGGGAGAGGGAGAGAGAGAAACATCGACGTGAAAGGGACACATCGAGTGGCTGCCACCCACACAACCAACCAGGGCTGGGGACAAACTGCAACCAAGGTACATGCCCTTAGCGGAAACTGAACCCAGGTCTCTCTGGACCACAGGCTGATGCTCTAACCACTGAGTAAACTGGCCAGGGCTGATTTATTTTTTAATAATAGCTTTATTGCTATATAATTCACACACTCTACAATTCACCCATTTCAAGTACACAGCTCAATGGTTTTAGTATATTCAGAATTGTATATATTTGTTTATTTTTAATTTTTTTTAATCCTCACTTGAGGACATTTTTCCATTTTTTGTTCAGATAGAGTGGGAGAGAGAGAGAGGGAGAAGGAGAGAGAGAGAGGGAGAGAGAGAGAGAGAGAGAGAGAGAGAGAGAGAGAGACAGACATCGATGTGAAAGGTACACATCGAGTGGCTGCCAACCACACAACCCAACTGCAACCGAGGTATGCGCCCCCTAGTGGGAACTGAACCAGGGTTTCTCTGGACCATAGGCTGACGCTCTAACTGCTTAGCCAAACTGGCCAGGGCTTAATTTCTTTTTTAACTTTTAATTGAATTTATTTTGATAATCTGAAGTAGTGGTTCTCAAACCATTAACGGTTCAGATAATCTGTGGACCTTTTTTTTTTTTTTTTCTTTTTTTTTTTTTTTTTTATCCTCACCCGAGGATATTTTTCCATTTTTTGTACAGATAGAGTGGGAGGGAGAGAGAGGAAGAGAGAGAGAGGAAGAGAGAGAGAGAAACATCGACGTGAAGGGACACATCGAGTGGCTGCCACCCGCACGAC